TAACACAATTAATAAATGATTTGGCTTCACATATCATGCTCTTTACTATACCACATCATTTGTTCAGAAAACATTTCATGAACTCTTACCAAGTGCTAGGTATTGTATTAGGTATAAAAAATACAGTGAGGAATGAACAAAAGCACATGCTCACAATAAAGCATGACAGTGCTGTAAGAGTGAAAGCTTGGGGTGAGATGGGAGCCTGTTAGAGGGGCACTTATTCCTAACCTGGAGTTGACAGAGGAAGCAACCTCTTAACTTAGCCTGAGTGGATGAATGTGATTTAGCAAAAGAAGGATAAATCCCACAGGAGGATTTGGGCATTGCAAGAGGCCAAAGGTGAAAAAGCTCTGTAAGAGCTGAGAAGCTGGAAGAAGGATGAAGAGGGAATAGAAAGGTAAGTAGTAACCAGAGCATATACTGCTTCTTAACTGGTGTTGAGTTTTAGCCTATAAGCAATTGGTAGTCACTGGGAGGTCATAAGCAGAAGAGAAATGTCCTGAAATCTGTATGGTGGGTAGGGAATGAAGATTGGAGGCAGAGGATCAGCTTAGAAGCCTCACAAGTGAGAAACTATGAGGACTTGCACTAAAGAAATGCAAGCCGAGATCATGAGAAGAGGACAGGGATATTTAGAGGGCAGAACTGATGAGATGTTACTTCCATGAAGGGTGAAGGAAGAAACGGAAATTAAGAATGACTCAATTTTTCAACCTTATTCCAAAGACCACATTTAAAACACCTACACAACTTCTCTAGGTACTCGCATTATAACATTTCATTTTTTTTCGATAAAGTAGGGAGCAAGGTCATCTACTGAAACTGAGATGGGAGGTAGCAAGAAGAGATGTAGTGAAGATCTAAACTAGCCACTCTGTAGAATGAGGAATTGCAGAACCGAAAAACACAGGCTTCCAGGAAAGTTCTGAGGGCCCAAATGGGGCAGAAGGTCTTGATCTGGTAGCCCTCATCTGTACAGATGGAAGATTATCTCCAGCAGCACTCAATAGCCAGGGTAAAGATGCACAGAAGATGAACACAGAGACTGGACCATATCAAAGTTTTCCAGGAGAGGCAGAAAAGACAAGATATTAGGGCAGAGGAGTTTAGAATATAAGAGAGTGGCAGAAGCAACGAAATATAGCCTCTAAGCTGGATATAGAAGTGAAGGGAGGGTGTGCTAATAAAAAGAAAGCAGACTAGGAACTAGGGTCAGGGAACTAGAGGGCTCTCATGACAGCATTTCCCAAAATGTGTTTCTCAGATACTTATTACACAGGATGTTAATCACTGACAAGTTCCTCATTAAAAGCTTTTCATGGTCAAGTAAGTGAAGGAAACCTTGGGTAATGTAATTTTTAAACTGTTTTCTTCCCGTACTATTTGCATTTAATAAGTTAATAATATATACTGTAGTTCTGTAATAATTTATCTCTAGGATAAATATGCATTTCCCAAATACTTCTGATTATTGTATATTATTTATCTATATTTATCAGAGAATTTCACTGAATGGGTATCTTAAGGAACACATTTTCAGAAGGTGTGCTCTATGAAATGAGAAGTAGGGATGGTAGAACACTTGAAAAGAAAGTAGCTTACTAAGGCAGGAGGTTTACCTGAAAGTTCTCTTAGCTTCCAGAGCAATGTATCTTTAATTCTACTATAACACACATACACACACACAGACACACACAGACACACACAGACACACACACACACACACAGCTTGACTCTGACTCTACTGTAATTAGTATTCATTCATGAAACCAATATTCCAAGAGCATGTACTATTATGTGGCAGAGGAGATTTATACAGCATTCTTACCAGGACAAACTTCATAACTTATCTGGGGAAAAAACAGAAACACACAAGAAAAATAAAAACCTGGCTGGAAAGTATGGCTCTTCCTCAGATACCCGTAAGATATAGTTTCCCTCCAGGGCAACTAGTGCTACCAATATAGCCACAGCTCTGTAAGATCAGAAAGTTCCTCCATAAAAACAGAGCTAAGATGAGTAGAACTGAGCTGAACAAACGAAAAAGCCCCAGTCTTGTCTTTGCTGAAGCTACTACTCTCCCAGTAATTCATGATGAAATAATCTCTCCTACCCCATCAATCTGATGACACAGATTCTTGACCTGGTCCTAATCTACTCCAGGATAAGAAATCCTAACAGTTGATTTTCTTAAATGACAACCAACCTGCTTAAACCCAGTGTCAACCATTCAGAATTCCAACTGTCACAGACTAGTATGGATAAAGCATAATCTGTAAGGAAGAAGTAGAGATCCACATGTAAATACTGGCTAGTGCCAGACTGTGAAGGATCTTGGTGACACAGCTGAAGCCTGGATATCCCTTGGGGAATGAGGAGGCCTGATGGATATATGAATAGGAAGATCGGGAGCGGGAGGGTAAAAGTAATGCCATCATTGCTAAAAACAGGTTTAGAAAGTTATTCTTGGGACATGCCCATAGGGTCCATGTCCATTTTTAAAAAGGCAGATCAAATTTTAAAATATTTTTTGTCATTTTTCTCTGCTTCCCTTCAAAGGGAAGGTTTTCCTTCCTAGAGGTAAGGAAAATAGGCCCATAATTTCCAGCTTCATGGTTAAAGGTATAAAAGAGAAAGTGTAAACATAATTTAAACTGACAAGGATGTTAAATCAGGCAACTCACTTGAAACTCCAATGGGAAAAGAGATGAAAATCAAAATCTTCAGTACATATTGTAGAGATTTTAGAAAAACAAAAATAATAAACTGCTATCATCTTATTAGGGAACAAAAACGCTAAAGACACATTAGCAAATGTGGTTTTGACTGATGTGACATAAGCTGAGACCTCATACCAACTAATTTAAGAAGTTTTAAAGATTTAGATCATGAGAAAAACAAAACTACAATAATTATGTGGTTTCAGAAAAAGTTAAGTCTTCCCTCAGTAACTTCTTCACATTCTTTACTACTACCATACTACAATATGACAATCCCAATCCCTAGGGGTTATACTAACATCACTTGATTAGAATTTTGGAAACACTGAAGTCCTACATTACAGAATGACGTCTAACTTGCAGAAACAAAAAACAAAGAAAGTTGGCTCATGGGATTTAAAACTCGCCGAGGTCCATAAAACAACTGCAGTTACAAAAACCACTATCTGCTCAACTTCAAAATGGGCTTTCAATAAAACCTCTGTGACAAAAAGTCATACCTATATATTCAGTTACAACAAAATTATAACATATATTGATTTTTGTGGATGTCATACACAAAATGTGTAGACATCTGTGGTGTAATTTTAAAGTATGATGTTGGAAACATCATCATTGCTCTCTCTTCTTTGAAATATAATACACTGCAATCCAAATGAATTCGATTCTATAAAGACTCATTTTTCTTAACTACTATATATATGCTGATGTTCAACTATATGACTGCATGAAAAGTTGTTTATACAGCTTCATGAGGAGCTCAGTAACTCTCTAAAGATACAAAACAGCACTCATGATCTAATTGATCTGTTAAGAATCATAAAATTTGAGTTAAAAAATTATATCAGCTTATGGAAAATTGATATTACATGTGGATGAAAAATGTGTTAACTGTTTTACCACAGAGTCTTTGTGATCCACTTGTACCCTAACACTGGCTGGTTCTGGAGGCCACAAGACCATCCTCTGCAGTGTAGTGAGGCACGTTACGGATGCAGAAAACTTACTCTAGTCAGATGCCCCGCTGGTAATTTCAGGAAATCCAAGATTTAGGCTGCTTTCTGGGTAAAAGGCTCAGAAGACCCACCAATGGCAGGAGATAGAAAATTCATACTCCACCCCCAGGATTATGGCAACATAGCAATCTATTTACATTTTGTGCTTCATGCTCTCTCTATCCAAAGTACATATGCAACCATAATGGGCTACACAGAACTAGGAAATGTGAAAAAGCAGCAGTACTGAGCCACGTGACTTGAAGCTATGGGTCAAACTTCAAAGGGGGAGTAGCAAAAAGAAAAGGGTGAGCAAAAAGGAAATGGAAGTATCTGAGAGAAAATCCTGGTACCCATTTTGCAGTACCAGCAAATTACTTAAATATTTACAGTCTTCTAGGTTCTACAATGCTAGAAGTCATGTAATTCTGCTTTTCTACCATTGAGAGGCAATACTCTTCAGTGGAAAGCAGCCTAGTGCTTGCTTAGACTTTGACACTAACCACACAGGACTAGGGTAGGACCAGGACAGGAAGAAAAAGGTCAGTTGGTGCTAAGAGAAAATTTGTTTTTGCCTATAATTGTGAAATCACAATGACCTACAATGTTAACTGCACTATCTTAAAAAACTATTTTTAAAAAAGAGAAGTGCTAGTCTGTGAAAGCATTCCTATTGTCATCACTCTGTAAGCAACAGAGGTCAGAGAGAATGTTTGATCATCCTTTTAGCCACTGCAGCACCCCCCGCACTGTGCCTCACATATGGTAAGCAGCAGTAAATACTCATGGAACTGAATCTTCTGTATGAGTATCCCTGTCTCTTAATCCTTCTTTCTAGTGTTTCTTATTTTCCCACCTTATTTCTTCCCATAGCTTGCACTGCTCTGTCATTGTGGTTTAACTGATAATTTGGACAACACAAAATAACAGTCTGTTGAATTTATTGGAAGATAATTTTAGGTTCACTTTTTTAATTGGAAAAGTAAATGTTAGGAACATTATCTTTTTCTCTCTAAAATACTTTGCAAATTAAGCAGTGGGTTAGCAACCTTCAACAGAAAACAGTTCCATATCTCTAAGTTGAAGATGTGTTGCTTTCTGCTATATTAAAATACAATTTTAAACAGTTGACTTGTGCCATACTCTTTTTTACTGTTACGTAAATCTAAGAAACAAAATTTTCCACAATTGGCTATAAAAAGTAACACAGAACTAGCTTGGTTCCTATAAAAGTATCCTTTCAAATTAGAAAACAAATATTCAATGTAAAAAAGCCACATACTTTTCATAGTTCCATCTTCTTCTTCCTCATCCTCACTGTTTATCACCATGGTCCCCAAGTCGGATTCCAACATGGTGCTATTATGTTCAATCATGGTCTGGGCCCCTTCACTCATCGTGCTTGTGGCCCGCATGGTGCCCACACTCTCCACACTAGTCTTCACCATGGTGTGGGAATCCAGCTCATCTTCATCCTGCAAGCAAAATACTGCAATGAGGGAAGACTTTTCTGTGACAGCTGGATTTCTTAATTCTTAACAAGAGAATGAATATATTATAGTTTTAATGCTTATAAAAATACGATTAGTACTGATTTTAATATAGACATACATACAAATGTTATTTTAAGAGCAAAAATTATTCAAAATAACTTAAAGTTTTAGGTAATTAAAGATCAAGCAACAGAAATTGATGAAGCAGAAGGCTGCTAGTTGCTTTTAAAATAAGGATTAAGATAGGTGAACTATCAACAAATGCATAACAAAGAATATGGTGATGAAAACAACTAAATACATAAAAGAGAGCACCTTTAAGACAGAACACATTTACACTTTGTATTATAACGGGCATAATGATGTCTATAACCTTGTACAAGAGCCATTAGTTTTTTCTTTTAAATTATGGCAAAATATACATATACATATACATAAAATTCACCATTTTAACAATTTTTAAGTGTACAGTTCTATAGCACTAAGAATGTTCACAGTGTTGTGCAACCACCACCATTATACATTTACAGAACTCTTCATCCCCCCTTTCCCCAGTCCTGGCAACCTCTATTGTACCTACATGAGGTATCTAGAATAGGCAAATTCATTAGTACTACTATTAATATCATAGTACTAATTCATAATTACTACTGTACTCATGAATTTGCCTATTCTAGATACCTCACGTAAGTGGAATCATACAATATACTTCACTGAGCATAATGCATTCAAGATTCAGGCATATTGTGGTATGTTGTGTAATTTCATTCCTTTTTAAGGCTGAATGATACTCCACTGTATGAATACACCACATTTTATTTCCCTATTTATCTGTTGATGGCCATTTGGATTGTTGACACCTTTGTCTACTGTGAATAGTGCTAATGTGAACACTGACCTACAAGTATCTGTTTGAATCCCTACTTTCGGTTTGGTTGGGTATCTACCTAGAAGTACAATTGCTGGATCACATGGTAACTTCATATTTAATTTTTTGAGTGCCCAAACTGTTTTCCACAGTGGCTATACCATTTTACATTCCCACCAGCAATGCACAGGATTCCAACTTCTCTATGTCCTTGACAACACTTGTTATTTTCCATTTCTAAAAAGTAATAGCCATCCTAATGAACATGAAGTGTTATCACATTGTAGTTTGATTTGCATTTCCCTAATGACTACTGATGTTGAGCAATCTTTTCGCATGCTTATCAGCCATTTGTATATCTTCTTTGGAGAAATATCCATTTACCCATTTTAAAATGGGTTGTTTGTTTTTTCTGTTGTTATTACAAATTCTGAATATTAATTCCTTACCAGAGATATAATTTGCAAATATTTTCTCCCATTTTGTATGCTTTTTACTTCATTTATAGCATCTATTGATGTAAGTTTTTAGTTTTGATGAAGTCTGATTTATCAGTTTTTTTTCTTTTGTTGCCTATGCTTTTGTTGTCAAATCCCAGCTTTTGAATGTTTCACAGAAGAATTGAGTCAGTAATGTAAGTACAAATTAAAAGTGCTCTTTAGAACATTCACCAAAGATATACTGGAATAGGGTCATAAAAATAAACTAACAAATCCTGTCTGAAAGACCAACTGATAATTCCAGTGCTTTGGGAGGTCAGGGCAGAAGGCCAGGAGTTTGAGACCAGCCTAGGCAATACAGCAAGACCCTGTCTCCACAAAAAATTTAAAAATTAGCTGAACATGGTGGTGTGCCTGTAGTCCTAGCTACTTGATGGGCTGAGGCTGGAGGATTGCCTGAGCTCAAGAGTTTAAGGCTGCAGTAAGCGATGATGGCGCCACTGCCCTCCAGCCTGTGTGACAGAGCAAGACCCCATTTCAAAAAGAAAGAAAGGACCAAAGAATCGGCTATTTAGAAAAACTTGATTATGCACTGAAATTCATTTATATTTATTCCATTTTTAGTAGAAACATATAAGCAAAATCTAGTTCTGGCAGAGGTCAAAATGCAAATCTGAGAACATCAATGTTGAGTCTCAGCAATTTGGATTGTATAATATAACAATAGTTGGACACCTGTTTGATACCTTTCCTCTTCCTAAACCCTACATGATAAGCTTGGGCATTATGTCTCAAAGTCATTTGCACTTCTTTCATGATCCTTTCTCTTTTAGAAGACCTCTTCATTCTCAAGCCTTCAACCATCTAATAAGTCGAGGAGTCTCAATTCCTGAAATCTTCCTATGTCTTTACTTATTATTTAAATGCTTAATGACGTCTAAAATTTGACAGTCCCAAATCAGATATTATTTGTCTCTCCAGTCCCTCCTATCTGTCTCTACCCCCAACAACCACCACAAAGCATGGTAATCTTCACTTGCTACATAAAACTTCAATGTCTTCTTACATTTATTTTCTCTTTCATTCCCTATATATGTATCAGTCAACTAGTTCTTTAAAAAATTCTCTCTTAGCTCCATCTCTTCTTTTTCCATTCCCACTGCTACTGGGTATAATCCTCACTACCTCATAGGTGGTTTACTGCAGCTAATGCTTCCTGACTGAGGACTCTCCCATCTAACTTTCTAGAGTCAGGCAGACATTGGTTCAAATCCTGGCTCAAATCACTTATGAGGCATAGGATCCTTGTTCCCAAAGATTGATGATTAAATAAAAAGGTAAGCAAAATGCCTGCATGCTACCTGGAACAAGGTAGTTTCACACCTTTCTCAAAGTACATGGCATTATACTAACCTTTCTTGAATACTATTTCTATCATTCTACGGAAGAATCTACTATGGCTCCCAGTTCCTGCCTTCATTAAAGCTAAACACTTCTGCCTAGATTTCAGTGTCTTCTATGGCCCAATCCTATTTTCCCATTGTTCATATAACTTCCAATACAGGCAGGCTGGACTTTAACTGAATCTCTCTTTGCCATAACTCCATATGATGCTATGCTCATTAAAGACTTCCTTTGTGTACATGTCTTATTCTCTATCCAGAATGCCCTTCCCCTCTATCCATTTAACTAAATCCTACCTAGTTTCCGATCAAGTATCTACTACTTCCATGGCTAATTCAGTCTTTGTTAATTATTCTCTTTTCTAAACTTCCATAGAATTTGCAACCTGCATTATACACTTTTGTATTCAATTTATGATCTCATATTGCAAGCAATTGTTTTGCAAAATCTTTTATAAATGTAAGTACCCTATGGACAAGAATGTCTTTGAGTGCCTCTGAATCCACTAAAGTGCTTCATTTGGTATTCAAAACACAGTAAGGATTTGTGAAAGTTGTCAGAATCAAAATGAAGACATTTCTGTTTAAAACAACAAAAAAACAAACAAAAACCAACCCTGACAAATGGAGCAAGGGAAAGCCATAAAGAGATGGTCCTCATGCATAAATGCCTGATAGCAAAAGCTATCACAAAAGACTCTGCCAAAACCACCACTTTGCACAACGGCCATTGCAATCTTACATGAAAAATACTGCGAGGACATCTACCCAGCAACTGCCTATCCAACCACAGACTGGCACACAAGGATAAGGATTTCAAAACAATTAGGCAATTCTCCCCATTTTTCCTTTAAAAACCTTTGTCTTCCTTTACCCCCCGAATACGCACATCATTTACTATAGCACCTATACTAGCACTGCAATGCCCTATTCTAAAATAAATGTTACTTTCTTTTAGAGAGTCCTTGTTATTTAGGTTGACACGTTCAATACATATTGACTTTTTCATGGAATTATAAAATCAGGGACCTTTACAGTTAGAGAGAAACTAATTCGAACCATCATTTTATATCTGAAAACACTGAGGTCCATAGAAAATAAGAGACTTCCCTAAGGTCACACACCTACTTAAAAGTAGATCTGGGACTAAGAAACAAGTTCTTTTATTTCTTAGCCCATTATTCTACTACATACATGTACCTGAATTATGTTTAAATTTTGATCTACTTGAATGCTTAAGTTTGAGGTGCAAGCTTAGAATCTTAAAAGCTTATATCACCACCTCCTATTCCCAAAGAGTCCCATAAAATTATTCAGTACATTCTAGTCCAAGCCACCATCTTCTCCCACTTGGAGCATGAAAATAGCCTACTGACTGTTCTTATTGTTTCCATTTTTGCCCCTTTTAGTCTCACTCACATAGGCAGATTGAGCCCTCCAGAAGACAAATGACATCATGTTACTCTCCTGCTAACACTCTGCATTTGGCCTCCTATCACACTTAGAATAAGATCCAAAACCTTTATCATGTCCAAATGTGATCTGGCCTATCCCATCTAGTAATATCTGCCAATCCCATCTCCTATCACATTCCTTCTTGTTCACCAAGCTCTAACCAGGCTGACCTCCTTTGCTGTTTCTTGAGCATTCTAAGCATGTTCTTCCTTTTAAGTCTTTAAATTGGCTGATCTATCAGACTGGAATGCTCATCCATAAACCAGATTGATAATTTATTTAACTCAGGTCTCTATTTAGCTGTGACCTCCTTAGTGAAGCTTTTTCTGACCACCAATCTAAACTAAAGCCTCCATCATTTTCCATTCTTCTATATTCTTCAGTCTATACTTGGCCTTCACGACCACTAGAATGTAAGTCTGAAGAAGGTAAGAGACTGTTTTAACTTCTGAATCCTCATTATTAAAACACCTAGCATACAGTAGGTACTTGATAAATATTTATTTAATGAATAAATCAATTTATATTTTCACTTATTAATCATCCAACAAGCATTTATTGTACATCAACTATAGACAAGACATTGGAGATACAAAGATGAATAAGATAGTTTCATTCCATTTCAGTTTTTAGGGAGTTTGTGATCTAGGGGAAATCTACTACCATGTGAACAATAAGTTACAGGACAATCTATTAAATGCTATAAGAAAAGTGTTGACAGTAAAATGGGAATACCAAGAGTAGAGCCTCTAACTCTGCCTTTAGAAAGTGAAGAAGGCCCCACAGAGGAGGCTGAACTTGAGTTAGCTCTTAAAA